GTCGAGCGTTCCCAAATATTGGTGAAGCTCATTACTCTGTACTTGCATGGAGGACAATAGATTTGTTGTTGATGCTTCTTGAGAGGAGGCTATGCTTCAGGTTCGGGTCTTCTTCGGCCTATTAAGTGCACTCTAGGAGTCGAAGTCTTCATTTGTGTCTTCTGATGCTACTTCCTCCGGTATTTCACCTCTTTGCTGGTTCTCATACCTGTTTTCATATTACAAATATACCTCTGCAAGACACAATTTTATCTCTCCTAATTGATTGACATATGCTTCATCTCGTAAATTTTCACTTAACGTGTCTAAACCCATTAATTTAATTATAGGATCAAATATGGCAGCTAAACAAAAAAGAAAAGAAATGGTTTTCCATATTTTTTAAATTTTAATTCCATTGCCTTTATTGGTCCCGCTAAAATTTCATTGTTTCTGTTTTTTCTAAATAAATCTGAATTTTTTATAATTAGATGTATTACTAATAGACTAATAGGATAATACATACCAAAAAGTTTTAAAGTGGATTAATAAAAAAATTTAAGAAAAGAATGAAATTTTTTAGCTATATGTCAATCACTGTCTACAAAATAATGAGAACCCCTATTATTTGCTACAAAATAACTAATTAGATTTACATAAAATAAATATGAATAAAGCATTAAATAAGTATTATTTCATCTAACAGACATGTCTAATGCAAAAGTTGTAAGAGACATATTTGATTTTATACAAGCATCTTGAAATTCAGCATTTCTTCTGTTATTACTAGTAATCTACGCTAAAGAATATCTAATTCTATTAATATTATTTCTAATTTTTTTCATACCAATTTTCATAATTAAATTAATAATGTGACATACACAACGTTGGTAAAAAAACTTCAAATTGTCATAAAAAAAAAAATACTTTTAAAAAATTATATAGCTCTACTATTAACACTTGCATTATCTAATGTTAAACTTATCACTTTATGAACAATATCATAATTTTCTAAAATTTCAACAATTTTATTATAAATTTTTTAACTACTATGATCCACATCCATTAATCTAAATCCCAATAAAGATTTATTTAATTTACATTCGTTATCAAAATAATGACTAGTCACACAAATATAATCTTGTTTAGCTCTACCACTCTAAATATCGACGGCATTAACATGACAACTATGTATTTTATTTCTTAATTCTAATTTCATTTTCTAAAACAATTTTATTAAATCATTTCTAGTTGCAATTTTAGAATAATTTTTAAATCCTGGAAAAAATGAATTTTTAATAAATCTTTCAAAATATTTATCTTCAGCCATATTAATAGATTGATCAGTTGCAGCAATATATAAAACTAATTGTTCCCTATATACATCAGAATTATAATATCAAGTAGTACCCATATTAGTTATTTGAGTTTGATTGGTTTCTCTATTTCCATGTTGACTCATATGTTTACTGTCATACCCTTTTAAAGTATTAGTACTATTACCAACATCAGCTTCATAAATATTTCCACAATACTTGCATCTTGCTTTCTTCACTTGAACCCCATTTTCTGTCTCGTAAAACTTTTTGAAATGCACCCAAACGTCTGATGTGTGTTTGTCGTCGATTCTGACTGCAATTGATGAACCCGCATCTGCTTGAGATGGAGTTGGACGAGGACGACTTTTAGAACCACCAGGAGTTGTAGCAGCATGGGGAGGAGGGGGGGGGGATATTATGAGGTGTATCGGATTCTAAGAATGAGAAAGCGAGACTGTTTGAATTTATAACATTTACGTTAGTAAATTCAGGGGGACTAGGATAATTTTTTTATCATCGAAATTGATGGGATGGAAATATCTATCAATTCTAGTTTTTTTTTTTAAAAAAAAAAAAGGATATAAAAGAAATAAAGAATTGGAATTTGGAAATATGAATTGAAAATTGCAAAAACTAATAAAAATTAAAATGAGAGCAAATTGACAACAAAGAGATTGAAAGATTTCAATAGAGAAAATGACAGAATTTAGGATGTGAGGAAATATGAGAGTTTATACCCTATTTATAGAAAAAAATAGGAAAAAAAAATTACCAAAAAGACTCCTCCAACTACTATAAAACGGCAATATTTCAAGGGTAAAATTGGTTTTTGTAAAAAAAAACATTTAATTAAATTTTTTTTTTTGTCCAACTCGCGGGTCAACCCGACGGGTTGGACGGTTTTTTTTTTTTTTTTTTTTAAATAACCAACTGGGTCATCGGGTTGGCCTATGAAGGCCTAACCCGCTCGATGAGGTATACTCGGCCTGGGTTGAGGCTGGCTAGGTTAGGGATGACCCCCTAACCCGACCCATTTGTTCCACCTCTACATTACTCCTTAGGGTAATACTACACTTACAGCTCAAGCTCACAAATTTTCTCTTACAACCTCAAAGTGGCAGCTCGCAATTGGTTAGCTTGCAATGGGTTCCGCCAACCCACTTGCGATCTAACCAATTGCAAATTGCCAAGTTGAGGTTGTAAGAGAAAGTTTGTAAGATTGGGTTGTGAGCCAATCTTTATTGAATATCTTATCCATCAACTAGCTCTGGGTGATTGAGTAGTTCGATAAGGACTAATTTATTACTGAAGAGGTTTTTAAGTTCATGTATCTTTTCGATTGCTAATTGGGTTTTAAGGTTCTAAAGGATTAGTTAAAGTGCGTATAAGTTAGCTCGAGCACCTCATATATATATATATAAATTTATCAACTACTTTATCTTTTATTCTATACTGTAATAATTGTTGATGCGTGATTTTGACACTAATGAAACGCACATGTGAAATATTGAGTTGGCCCAAAAGACACACCTGAATGGAAAGGAAAATGACAGTAAATGCAATGAAAAATGAGTTTTAAAGTGGTTCGGATGCTAAGGAAGCAAGTCCTACGTCCACTGATGTTTTTATTAATGATAAGGGCCATGTCGTTTTAGACGACTGACTTTACACTGGTAATACAAGGTATCAAATGCTATCTATTCTAGAGAGAGAGAGAGAGAGAGGTTGGTCAACAGTAAATGTGCGAATCCCCTTAATGAGAGAGGAGCTCTCAACTTATAGTGGGATGCATTGAGGTAATGATCACTGAATCTATAAGTTGGTAGGATGATCCGTGCAAATCCTTCTTTATGTCACATTATCCATCTTCTAGAGTAATTAACGTGATTTGCTGCAGGGATTAGACACGCGGGATCATCACAGCTCTTGGCTAGCTTGACGTGCACTCACTATTCTGACGGAAGTAAGCTGTGGGTGTAACCATGATCACACGACACGGCTACGCCAGAGTGCTAGTAAACTCTTCCCGAGGTTTGACCTTTCGCACTTAACTGGATGCCACGTCAGTCCTATTTTCCCAGACATAACAATAATAAAGATGGATTCAAATGTATTTAAAATTCGCTTTTTTGTTATATAAATATGTATAACTTAGAATGTAAGAGCAAAATGCGAAAAAGGAGAAAAAAAACAATATATCAAAAAGTGTGAGAGCAAAATTTTTGTATATCTATAACTCTTATCTTATCTTACCCAGTAAATGAGATAAAAACAGAAGTGGAATATGTCAAATCAAATATCGGTAAGGTTTTGTTCTCTTTTATTTCTTTATTTTACTAAAAAGTCTGAAGGATTTAATATTTTAATTTAAATCTCAATTCCAGTTCCAACCAAATTAGGTTAAAAACTAAAATGAGCCTATAATACAAAGTTGAAATGGCTTGATTGATTCAAAAAAAAGGTAAATCTTTGTCGCGTTGACCTACGTTTTTTTCATGTAGTAATAATAATGGTCGGTGGGTGGAATTGGAAATTAGGGTTTGGATAAGGTAAGCGTGGGAGGTGAATTGTCAAAATATCATTGATACCCACACCCTTTATTTCATTACATCCATACACTTACCTTTCTTTTTACTGTTTCTCAATTTGTTAATGTAATCTAAATTTCAAAAGGATAATTGGATAAGGCTGGCAAAACTGGTGGGGGGGCCGAGTCTTCATGGGTACGGGATCCACGGGTCCGACTCATATACGGGTCTAAAATATTGGACCTGTACCCTATCCTATGTAGGTACGGGTGGACCCGTGGGTACCCGTTTTTTCTCTCTCCAGATTTTAAATTTTACTTTTATCCCTAATAGTTTTAAATTTTACAGTTTCATCCCTAATTATTTTCAATTATGACAGTTACACCCCAAAATTCCTGTAGTTTTAATTTTTTATATTTACACCCCCAAAATCAACTACTCTAAATTCAATTCAATTTAGAATATAAACCAAAATAAACAAATAACACATAAACAAACACAATAAGTCAATAACATATAATACAAAACTATAAATACCAACTAAAATAAACAAATACATAATCACTAATAAGAATACAAATAAACAAACACATAAATCAAGTTAATAACATATAATACAAAACTACAAATACCAGTCAAAATAAACAAATACATAATCATAAATACACATAAACAAACACAATAAGTCAATAACGTAAAATACAAAACTACAAATACCAATTAAAATAAACAATTATTTTTTTTTCTTTTTTTTTCAAATCCTTTTTTCCTTTTTTTTAATGGGTACTCACGGGTTGACCCGTATAACCCGTTGAATATACCGGCCAACTGGGTACGGGTCCAATACATTGGACCTGTACCTTATATTTTTTACCCGAGTATGGTCGACCTGCGAGTCTAGCCCGTTTTGCCATGTCTAGATAAGGCTAAACAATTGAGTAGATTGCATCAAAAATTTTATTAACTTTACAGGAAAGATTTGTGGGAAGTTTTTGATTTTTTTTTTTTTTTAGGGTTTATAAGGAATAAAAAATTACACCTATGCGGAAAAAAAACCCCTAACTCATACAACTCTCATGCCAAAGCACAGAAAACGAGGATTTGTAATCCTTTACAAACAGCTCAAACCCAAAGCAAAACATAAAGCAAGGGGAGCCAAAAAGCAAAGAAAAACCTCGTTGGATTATTTCATCTTCATCTTCATCATACGTGGGTTACGTAGTTATTACATAATTTCAGATGATCACAACTCTACCTTCTTCATATTCTTCAACATTCTAAATATTAATTACCTCTTCATTTTATTAAAATATTGCTAATAATTGATACCCCTGGATTAAGATTATATCATGTACATTATAATTCTGTATAATTTTCTATATACCAAAATTCATACATCATAAATCATCCCCACTTCAAGTGTAGATGCATGTGGTACACTTAGTGCATTTGTTGCTGCCCTGCTATTTCTTCTCAAGAACTCATACCCAATGTTTATTACAAGTTTCTTTATCATGCTGGATCCTTTCTTTGCTCTCACATATGAGTGACCTAATATGTAGGCAATCCCCGCTTCCCTCGCTTCCATAAGTTCCTGAAGCTCTTTCATTGCATCCCTATCGATTTTCGGACTTTCTGGAACGATAAATCTCACTCTTTTCTTTGGTTTCGTAACCGGGGGAGATTGTATCTCCCGTAACTCTGATGTGCCTGCTGATTCTGGGTTGTTCACATCATCCTCGCTCATTTGAATCCCTTCGGTATGGGTTGAACATGTGCCAACGACTGTCATTTTGTCTTCATCCTTCGGCAAGTCGTCCTTTGCACTACTGCCATTGGCTTCAGCAGTTCCTGAACGTATAAACTCTGCTATACTACACACAAGATCCTTCTCGAATTCGATGTCGTCCTTGTGTACATCACGATATCCATATCTTACAATGCACCGATACATTCTATACTCTCTTGGACCAATACGACCGACTAAAAATCGCTCCTCAGGTCTAACATGAGGAACTGGGACAGATTTTATGCAGAGGAAAACCAAAACCTGGTGAAATGCTGGAAGGTTAGTAACAAAGTGGGAGAAGATTGCAGGGATTCCGGATACGAGTTCGGTGTGTATAAGGCCAATGCCACGGACCCGTACAATGCCTAGACTGGGACCTAAGCTAAGTAGCCAGTTGATGGAGACCTTATTTTGCACATCGAACTCGTACTTTTTCAGCGTGCCATAGTGCCACACACACATGACAACAAGAAAGATGAATGCAAGGGCAATTGGGACCCAAGCGCCTTCAAGGAACTTGATAAGAGAAGCTGAGAAGTAAAGAGCTTCAATTGTGCCAAAGAAGACAACAAAAGCTATTGCAAAGAAGACACTCTTCTGCCAGCATAACACGATCACGATGGACATTAGGCAGGTGGTTACAAGCATAACAGTTATGACAGCCAAACCTGTCACACAAAGAGTAAATTTTTAACAAGTTCAGTAAGCAAATTGAAAATTTCCAAGTTTTCTCTTTCACAAAGAGACTAATTAATGAAGATAGTTCTTTAGAAACATTAAAAGCAAGAACATAATTCCTGAACTACAGCAAGGATGATACACAGTTGCACACACCATCATACGGAAGATCAAAACAAGCATAGAAGTTTTCCTTATTAAGGCACAAGAAGGATGATATTATTATCACATGAAAAGATCTCAGGATTCTTGACCGTAAGGCAATCAAATACCTTTCAATTATGAGACAAATTTTATTGAAAATCTGCAGCATATCATCATAGCTTATTATAATATACCTTTTAACATCTTCAATTGTAAGATCCAAAAAGAAGTAGCCTAGGGAGAATTTCAGCATATCCCACACCCAACTATTGCACAAATCTACCATGTGGCCATTACGGTTCTCTTCAAGGAACGGCTGGGTTAAGACTGATTTATAATATTTTTACAGCCACACTCAATTGAACATACAAGTGAACTATATTATCCATGAAAACTAGAAAATCATCGAGTCAAACATTAAGCATATCCACATTGCAGGTATAAACATTCTGAAAGGCAATATGTTAAGAGATTAGATATTTCTGTATATGCCATACCTGATGCATTGCCCAAGCGTTTTGTGTCTCTAAAACCAATTGTAACAGCCAAGCACAACAACATCAGTGTCCAATTAATCTCTGGAATGTAGATCTGACCATGGATTTTGGATGATGTGTGGACTATTTTGACTTGAGGGAAGCAACCCAGAGCAGAACATTGCTTGATGATTGAGAAAGTGCCCGTGATAATGGCTTGGCTTCCAACTACCGCAGCAAGAATGGCTATAACTAGAACCGGCCATCTCAAACTCTCTGCAATTCAAAATGGGGCACTTCCAATAAGCTGAAACTCATTATTGAAACTGTACAATCTTCATTGATAAAAATTCAAAGAAACTACCTGGTACAGACACATAAAATCCGATCCGGTAATCTTTGTCAACAATGTGATGCTGAGATAGATAAGCAGCTTGCCCCATATATGCAAGAATCAAGGATGGATAAACCAAAGAGGTGAAAGCAATCTGCATAGATTTGCACAAATCAATCAATTATTTACAATAAGAAACTGGATCGAATTAAAAAGAGCATGCATGTTTTATCTAGCATGTTAAATGATTCCTTTGTATTTTCTTGCCATTGAGGTCCCCCATTCCATATTTTTTACCACTGACCAGCAAAATCGTAAGGGATAACATTTTCAGCTGGCAAGAAACTTGGAATTTGATGATAAGTTATATCAAGTCAAAGAAATAGATGGCGATATATAATTTGAAAAGGAACAAGAAATGAAGATGACCTATTCAACCAAATAGTTTTCAGGGAGTAATGGGTAGAACATATGAAAGAGAAGTCCTAATCAATCCAAGTGCAGAATAGATAAGCTACACACTCCATGACAGTGGGCAGCAGATAATTCTTTTTCAATTTATCCATCTAGCTAAAGAGCAGTTTAGTTTTATTCAATATTCTGAAACCTGAAAACAATTGACTTTTGCATTAATCATACAATACTGCTATTCAATGTAAAAAACTTTCCATATCAGTCAATAATTGTCAGAATTTCTACAGCTGATTTCGTCATTGTTGACCAACCAGTATCACATTATATAGTCCCCTTTAGCTCAATAGCAAGAAATGGTTAACTTTTTACCAAGTCAAAGTCTTAATGAGGTTATTAAATCACAACAATCAAAACTACCAGGTCCATTAGCTGATCATGAGCAATATTACTGGACAAGGGAAAACTAAGCAAAACTAAGGGAAAACTAAGCAAAACTAAGTTAATAGGTATTGATCCGTACACCTGCACCATTCATAATTACCTTTCTTTGTTTAGTACAAAGAGATGGTTCCATATACCCAGCATGCACGAGGCCAAATACCCACATAGACTAACCAAATGAATCCAAACTTTTATAATATCTATTCTGAACAGACCCTAGCACAACAAGAACGTATTAGGTCTGCAAGTTATAAGTATTTAGCCCATATGTTTAAATAGTTTTGGCGAGCTGCAGGGGAAGAAGGCACAAGATTTGAACTGTCTACTAATTACAAAGTACAAGGATTGAGGCAAGGGCTCACCAATCAGATACTGACCAGAGGCTACTTTAACACTCATTGTTATACAACAAACATGTTGAGTTAATTTAGTTGAACAGATTGCAAAATTAGTTTTGAGATTTTAAGCATATATACCTTGATTGACAATTGTGAAAAGTGTCCAAGATCAGCAAACATAGCTTCTGAGCCTGGAAAAAAAAAAGTACATTTATGAATCAAACGCCACCATGTCTGTAAATAACTTCAAAATAAAGCAACCATCTCATGCAAATACCTGTTATACACAACAAAATGCCACCCAAGGACATCCAACCATCTTTCTGAGTTTTCTTCAGAAATTTATACATGTAATACGGAGAAAGTGCTTGATATACATGAGGATTCCAGTGACAGATGTTGTATAATCCAATAGCACTGATGCATAGAAGCCATGTTAAAACCACAGGTGCGAACAAGAATCCAACTCTGTGTGTGCCATAATGTTGAAGTGCAAACAGGGCTATCAGTATGATGCAAGCAGCTGGAACTTCTACATCTGCAACAATATTGAATTTTCAAGCGGCAGTGCAAGTATGATATATGTAAGTCATATAATCTAAACTGCTGATTTGCAAAGCAAAAAAATCAAGACAAACAAGCACATCTTACAATTCATCGCGTGCCGTTGGTTACTAAAAACAATTCTAATGACCAGGATGCTATTCAAACATTGAAGTTTTTTGCACTATAAAGTATTCTAGTGTAGCTATAAGTTCCACGACTGTATATTTTATTTAATGTTTCCATTTTTAGGAAAGGGTACTTATCATCTAAAACAATGATTAATATACATGAAGACTTCACAACTTATCATGAGTTTGTGTTTCTCCCCATCCTGAAGAAAGGTCATAATGTATAAATAAGCTCAGATTGTGAAGTTTTTTAAAAGTTGGCATGTCTATTGCTGGGTTTCGACTAGTATAATACCTACCATATTATGAAGTCACTTCTACCCCAGCACACACCAACCAAGCCCATTGCAAAGACAACCTACCTCCCAAAATTGTATATCTACCCAACAACTCCATGAAACTAAAGAAAGGTTATCATATGAGACACAGATAATTCTTGTCTTCAATTGTTTAGGATCTTCTCTTCACTACCCTGACTCTCATTAATACATTGCTTAGTTGCTGTCTGGCACTGCAAATCTCTATATTCTAGTTTCTGGTTTCCTCTATAAAATCATCATATACCCTTGAGTGATTTCAGCAGGAGGGAAAATGGGTGAAAGAAGAATATAAAATTTGGCCTGGCTTCTAATAGCATAAATAAATATAGATATAACTGCAAGATAATAAAAGTCAAACCATAATTGACACACTAAGAAGTTGAAACCAGATAGGTGTGACAAATATTTAACCAGTGGACCATCATGTGATTATACAGAAAGCCCTCGGTGGAAGCAATGGAGGCAAGTGGCCCAGCATAAAGATAAATTCAGTTTTATTAGTTTCTGCAGATTTTCAACATATGTCTGCATATGCATGCCAGTATAGCTTGATAATTGACACATGTTTGTGCAACCTAATTTGTGAAGGACCAACCCGGGACTTAATTTTCGGTAATAGCGGTGCAATGGTCTTTGAGAAATAAATATATGAACTTTCAGAAAGATTTCAAGACCGGTAATAAAAAATTAATAAGATGATAAGCCTAAGCCATATTTTGAGGTTGCTGTAGAAGCTACAAAATGCACAAAAACTGGCAAATGGAAAAATTGGACTAGAGTATGAACTTAAAATTGACATGCTTCTGAAATTAAAAATTTCCAACTAAAGGGTAGTCTAGTTAGAAATTAGGCCATCTAGTAAATTTCGAAAAATATTACCCGAAAGAACTATGCCACCCCAAACATTAAACTGTTTATCCATGATTTGTCTATTCGTTCTTAAAAGTCTTAGCAAACAACATAAAATCAAAATAGAACCAGGAAAAGGATAAGCATCTTACATTTGTGATGCTCCTTAGACATGGAAAGCTCAAGCCCTGATACTGCAGAAAAAACTGCACAAATAATCCCGAAAATCAAACAATCAAATTAGCCTTCAAACACTCAAAACACTGAATACGGAACCAATATCAAGAATTAAAAAATAAAAAGAAAATCCTATAATTACCAGAAATAGCTGGGGTGAGCACACCATCACCAATCACCATACAGGTCCCAATCAAAGCCAATACAAGCAAAAACCGCTGCAAAACTCTATACCTTTCAAGAGTGGATTTCAACTTTGTCCCAAAACTACTTTTTGGTGCCAAACCAACATGATCCTTCTTGTACTCACTGAGTTCCTCGTCAGCCAACTGGCCATTAGGAAGTGAGTTGAGTCGGGCGTGTCGGCACAGCAAGGAGTACAAAGCAAAAGTCCCTCCTTCACCGTTATCATCAGCTCTAAGCACTATAAACACATACTTAAGCAATGGAACCAAAGTTAAAGTCCAAAAAATGAAAGATAAAACTCCATAAATCTCTTCGTTGGTCTCTGAGTGTTGAATATCTTCCGCGAAAGTGCTTTTGAACACATATAAGGGTGAAGTACTTAAATCTCCGTACACAACGCCAAGACTTTGATAGGCTAATGTTAACAATGTTCTCCATGATTCTTTCTGCAATAGGAACAGCAATCTGATCACAAAACTAAACTGAACTTATTTATAAAAATAAAAATAAAAAATAAAAGCATAATTTTGCAACAAAGACAACAAATTGATCATACAAATGAAATAGTTTTTGCAAAAAAAAAAAACACTTTTTGATCATAGAATAGAAACAACCCGTATTGAAAATCAACGAATGCAAAAAAGAATGAAATGGGGTTATTTCAAAAATGAAGAATCAGTCCAGAACATCTCACCTTAACAATATTTTGATAGACCCCGATTTCCAGATCCATCATTGGCAATCTCAAAAGCTGAAAAGATTCATTTTTGCTGAGAAATGGAGAGTAGTGATCTGCACAAACACCCTCCCCAGTATGTAGCCCTTGTAGGAAAACACTAAAAAAACAAAACTAAATATTTGAATAAAGATTGTTTATTTTATTAATGAATAAGAAGAGTCAATGTAGACAGCAGTTGAACAACCTTTAATAGAGACACATTTTTTGTTATTATTAATTTTTAATTCCTATAAAAAAGCCACAGGTGATGGGTACTGTTTATTTAAAACGAAACGAGAAGATTAAAATAAGAGAAAAAAATTTTGCGTGAGGCATTTGGAGTGTGAAGAGAGTTGATGAATAGGGGTGTTCGATTTGTTTATTTGTTTTACAATTAGAAATGGTAATAAGAAAAAACAAAAACAAAAAGAAAGAATATTTAAATTGAAAGAGAGAGATGTTGACTTTGTCAACCCCACTGCAAATGATAACTGATTTGAGTTGAGTTGAATTTACAGAGTCAGTGGGATGAGAATGAGATGGTAAGTGAAAGTGTGCATTGATTTTTGGTTTTTTAACCAACTGTTAATCTCAAAAACTAATAGTTGGTTAAATACAGGAAACATATGCTTCGGAATCATGGATTTGTAGATTTTGTTGCCTTTTTAAACTATTATTAATTATATCATATATTGGAAACATACATTTTTGAGCTATATATATATAAATTATAATTGATAAAGCATATACATAATTTGATGATCAATTTAGTGGTTATAAAGGTGAATATGTATATTGTGAATAAAGAGTAAAGAAAAAGGGTTTGATAAGTGCATTGTGGGTTCATAATTAAAACTTTATTAAGTGATGGTAATAGTAGTTTCATTGATGTTGATGAGTTGACTATACCACAGCCGTCCATGCGTCTCTCATTTTACCAAATTATCTTATACTCTTATACTTTGGCCTTGGAGTGTTCTAAAAGAGTCGAGTTGAGTCACTTTGGGTTGTCGAACTCGGCTCGTTTGCTACAACTCAAGGTCATAAAAAAAAAAACTCTTCATTTCTCCATTTTTTTCACTTTTCCAATCAAGCTTTTCAAGCTCCTGATTGTGAACCGAAATCTAACAAGCTCGAGCTCAGCCAAAAAAAAACTCTGAGCTGCGTTGAGCTTTTATCGCGGCTGACAAATATATAATTAGAGTAATTACTTAATCATTGGCATGCAAGGGATATTCTTTTTGATTCTGAGGGCAGTTGTCATGAGTGATGAAAAATGAGAATGTGAGGAAGCACACCGATTATCTAGAGGCTTCTATGAATGAATTTCATCCATTTTAATTGGAAAAAAGAGTTATGGCGGTTGGTTGCTTGTACTTTAATTGTCGTTGATATGTTTTGTGAAGGCAGCTGGTGGTTTCATGCATGGATGTGATTTTAGTCAAACCAAAATCACGAAATTAAATCATAATTAATGTGGATATAAAATGGTTAAAGCAGTTGATTAGGTTAAGCATGAGATAAGATGATTTAATTAATGTGGGAAGTGCAGGAATGATGTAATGTTAGGTATTTAAGTTCCTAAAACAAACACGCTTATCCTTAATCAATTCACTTGAGGAAGCAACTACATCCACATAATAAAGAGTCTAATTGATTAGAAGATTTGATATGGACGTGGAGACCATGCTCCACTCAGCTCAATTAGGCATTTAGGTTAAATGGAAAGCCTACATGTCATACAATAACAATTACGTATACAAGTAGTAGCCTTCACCTCTGATGATGTCAACTCCACGCCCCTCAAATGGACGCATGCCCCAACTTCAACACACTCAATGGCAATGCCACCTGTGCGTTATGTGTCATAATTTCATAACCATATAAAGGGGCGTTTGATTTGGGGTTACCCGAGATTATTTGGATTATCTCATTTTATATTACTTGATTAACATGTTTGGTTATCAAATAATATAAGATTTCAGTAATTTTCTACTACTGATAATATTAGAGATAATCTGATTACTTCTATTTTCTTAGGTATTGTAAGATTATTAAGGTAATCTTTTTTTTTTTTTTTTTTTTTTTACAATTCTATCATTTATTTACAAAATTTTAGGACAATAATACCCTTATTTTAAAATTAATTTACATGAATATGGTTTTACTATTTCACCCCAATTAATTATCTTTTTGGACAAAATAACCCTTGAATTCAAAACAAATTGCAGCCCACCCAAGCCACTACCCCTACCCACCTGCTGTTGTCGGCGACCAACCGTCTCTGTCGATATGATCAGATCGTAGCATATTTGGCCAAAAAATGGTCAAATCTAATTTGGTCATTTCCGGCCAGATCTAGACGTGGCCGTTAATCACCATCGATCTGGCTGTTGATGACTAGATCTAATCCAATTGTTTTCAGTCAGATCCGTCAATCTAGTCGTTGGATGACAGTTAATGGCCACAACCATATCTGTCATTATCTGGCCATTTCCTACCTTCCATGCGCTGTTAGGTTGCCGGCAGTGGCTTGGTTGATGGGGGTGCATTATTGATTTCTCAAACTTTTATTATGAGATTGTTTTTGCTAAGTTTTTAAATGTAAGGGGGTTATAAAGAATCCAAAAAATAATCTAAATAACAATATTAAATAATAATATTTAATTAAATGACAATTCAGTAATTTAAATAACATACCCACCAATTTATTCCAACTAACCAAACACATTTTACTAAAGATTTCAGTAATCTTCAAGGTAATCTAAGTTTCCAGTAATCCAACATTCCTTGAACTAAACACACCCTAAGAGTTAACTACTTTTTCTCACCAAAATAATGGTTTAATGACACTTTTTCCCCACCAACTTTTAAAATACCATTTTATTATTCAAATTTATATTTCAACGACGAATAGAGAGTAAACTTGTTATAGGCTGTTAGGGCTTTTGAAAACGGGAGGCCGATAAGTCTTTTGGTGGTGAGATGTTGGATTTTGATGGTTGAGAATGATTGGAATTTGACTTGGGAGGGACGGCTACACAAACCCGAATCCCTCGATTGTTAAGGATTGACAAGGTCGACGAGAATAGGGTTTGAGGGTTTTGATGAGTGGTGATCGAGGAAGAGAATACTGGTGGTGTGAGGCTGCAATAATGTCAAAATAAAAAATGGAATATAAATTTAGATAATAAAGTGGTATTTTAAAAGTCTATAAGTAAGAAAATGTTATTAAACCATTACTTGGGTGGAAAAAAGTTGTTGAACCCATCTTTGGAGAAGAGCCTTCCATGTTTTAGCTTCTTAATTTTATTAATTAAGTTCAAGACACCTAGTTTTTATTACATTGTTAAATGGGGATGTTCATTCAATTCAAGGGAGGTAAAAGACAAATATATAAACACTTCAGCCGGGCCTAGCCTTGTGTTATTAATTGAATTTATTATATGAGGTTGTTGAATAAATAAGAGAATATTTGAATAATATCCCCTATATTCTTCTGGCCAGTTCACCAATAACACAACAGAATTCATATCTACTTGCCATTAAAAAATATGGTCTACTTCATTGATTTTACAATTCATAATCACCTAACATTTCATACTAAATCTCACATGGGATATAATCCCATAACATTATAACTGTTAAAAACTAAGTGATCTAGCATCAAATGAAGATAGGTACCCAATATTAAGTATATCAAAGTTTTGCCGATTATCCAAAAGACTAATCTATTAGGTGATGTTATTTACCCGTCGTTATAAGTCGAAGATCCAACCTATGTTTATCTTATATAAATATAATAATAAATGTCTATGCATTGTTAAAATCCAACCTATATTTTTAACTGATATAGATATAACAATAAGGAGGGTGACATTAATTGTAGTATTTTTTGTACATATGAAGAAACCGAGGAATTTGATACTATATTATTATTGATGGCATCTAAATGTCCCCATGGCCATGATAACGACATCAAAAAATCTATTACATCTAGTTGAAGTTGCAGATATTTTATGAGAAAAGGCAGCTTTATAAGTCTTTTGATATTATTAAATGAATCCAGTCCCTGTGGGAAAAGTAAAGTAAGCCCAATGTTATTTCTGCTTTGCTTTCTGAATTATAATATTACCGACTTTAAAGCCTCAAAGTGAGAAAGAAATTTTTAGGGGAAAATAACAGTCAAAAGAAATAAATCTTTCAAGGATTTCTTTTTGAATTAAACAAGTAATCACTGCTTTTTCTTCTTGCTTTACAAACCCACACTAAGAAAAAACGCACCCAAAAGCTAACTGCTTCCCCACCACAATTTTCAAACACAGGTTCAGATACGAAAGCTGGAAAAATTAGTCCTTGTATTAAAAATTTATCACCACCATACACTCACATTATGTTCTAGAATGGCCATACCACTACTAGTTCCAGTCTTTGATTCAATAAGCATACCAAACAAAATCTGAAGTAAAAATAATTTCAACGATCATGCATATGATAATTGCAGATTAATGGATGATCCAAGGAGTGAGTGAGTTAATGTTTATATGTACTCGAATAATTTGTGGCAGGAAGCCGGTATTAAGGTGCAAATATTTACTGTTCCTACCTTTTTTCCACCTTTAAAATTGATCAAGAACTCAACGTAGAGCTTCAAATAGGCAGCCAATGTAATGAATATATCAATAAGATGGAGAGATTCCATCAGATGGCAAACAAATCAAGAGTTTTAGACCATATATGTCATCCCAACTTGCAGGATATTCATGTGAGGTACACTCATATTTGCAGCACCTGCTCTGCAGTTCCTTCTTAAAAATGCGTAGAAGTAGTTTATAACTAGTTTCTTGAAGAAAAATGAGTTCTTTTTCGCTCTCACATCACCATGTGCAAGCAAATATGTAAATCCCGAATCCATTGCTTCTCGAAGAGCTGAAAGCTCATATTCTAAACTCGGGTCTTCTTCTGAAGGCATGACACTAGATGGTAATTCTGAGACAATATCTGATGAGGCATAAGTTCCTGCTTCGGATCTCCTATCATGCATCAGTGGAATCCCAAGCTCCTCATTCCCATAACCACCCAGTACTTCATGATCCATCGAGCTCACAGAAGCACTGTCCAAGTCTGGCTCAAATAAATTTCTCTCCAGGGCCAGATCTTGAGCCTCTCTTCTTAGAAACTTCTCGAGACTTTGAACTAAAAGTTGCTCAAATGCATGGTGATCTTCCTTCCGGACATCTTTGTAACCATATCTAGCTACACAGCGGAACATATGGTAGTCTTTTGGGCCAACTCTTCGAAACAGAAACCTTTCCTCAAGAGGCACCACTGGGACTGGGACATATTTGATACAAACAAACACTATAGTAGAGTGGATAGCTGGGAGGCTAAGCAAGAACTGCCCAAAAATTGAGGGAATACCTTGGACAAGCTCGTTATATAGCAGCCCAATACCTGGGACTCTTGCAGTTCCAAGGGTGGAGCCAAGATCAAGCAACAAGTCCATTGATATCTTTTCCCTGACCTCACTCTGGTATTTCAACACACTACCATAGTTCCAAATGTACATCACACAGAGAAAGCAAGAAGCAAAAACAAGGGGAAGCCAACCACCCTCTTTGATTTTTGATAGAACTGCGGACAAATAGATAAGCTCTATTGTACCAAATACAAGTGGGAAACACAACACCAGAATTAAGTTGGTCTGCCAGATTAGAAGCATCACAATTGTCACCAAGGTGGTGGTCACTATCATGACACCAACTTCAGCTATGCCTGCAATAAAAATTTGAATTGCATCAGCAGAAAGTCACCGTAGTATTAGTACTGGTAAGTGGTAGTTCAATTCCCAACTCATTAACATATCAGCATAATTAGTGGTAAAAGATTTGAACATCCCTAGCGTAGCTCACCGTCAGAGCAACAATTTTGGCTCTAGGGAAAGCATTTGCCAGCAGCGACTTTATGAACTTCACTCAGTAATACAAGCAATGGACAGTCTCACAGAAAAAAAGTTAAAACATCTTTTGGAGCTCAAACACAAACAATAAAGGACAGAAGTTCGAATTATCATATAAAACTATTACAAGTCGGTGGAGTAATTTGCATAAACCAATTTGTTTGGTAAGCATAGAAAGCCTCCAGACTTTTTAGATGTTGTATACACCTTGTTTGCCATACTCATAATATTTATAAGTAAATCAGCTCTGTGTGAAAAGATTTGGGTGCATCAAATGTCTGAGCATACAACTTTAAAACCTAAAATATCTTCTGAAAGCACCCAAAAGTAAATATATACAAAGAAATGGATTTTAAAATAGGTATTGCAAGAGAAGGAAGCTTAACCATATGCATTGGCGATATCTGTAGTACTCCGGAAAATAGAAACTACAATGATGCACATGATCATTAAAAACCAATTGATTACGGGGACATAAATTTGACCCATTAGCTTCTTTGAGGTGTGAACTATCTTCATCCTTGGGAAGCATCCAAGAGCCATTGATTGCTTGACACATGAGAATGTAGCAGATATCATTGCTTGGCTGGCAATCATGGCAGCAACTGTGGCTATTATGAAGACTGGCCAGAAAAGACTATCTGTTTACTCCAAAAGGTAGGAACTCAAAAGTGTCAAAATCAGCACTTAATCTATGTGATTTTTATATTATGATCAGAAACAACTGAAGCAGTTTGGCAGAGATCACCTGGTACAGAATCATAGAATATTCTTTCAGCAGAATTAGGGTATTTCATGAGATATGCAGCTTGGCCCATATAAGCTAAGAGGAGACAGGGGAATACAACACAGGTAAAAGCAATCTGCACAAATAATGTAGAATAATTACATAAAGCTCTTAGTAAAGAAAATCCATCGGAAACAGGGTTGAGGCAATGTGGGAACAAAACCTGTATGGATCGTACTGAGAAATGGCCTAGATCAGCAAGCATTGCTTCAGCTCCTGAAATGACATATAAAACAAGTTATAGAATTAAACGGGGGACCTTTTCTAAAATTCTGCAGGCAACCCTCAATTTTTCAGAAAGATGGCTTACTCTTATGTGACTTTCAAACAAAGAATGAAGCTATAATACTTGGGCTACAACAATGGATTTAACAAAACATCTAAATGCTTCCTGCAAATGCAGGTCTGCATAGTCTATTATGAGTAGCTTCGGTATTTTCAGTAATACCCTAGAAACAACGGAAGGGGTAACAAACACTAAAAGAATAAAATGGTCTACCCTACCCAAGTAGCCAGATGATTATCATTGAAAAATCTTTACAAAAGATATCAAGTAATATTGTCAATCCACCAGCAGTACCCAATCTTTAAAAGCAAAACGTACCTGTAATGCACAGCACGCAGCCACCAAGAGCTGACCAAGCATATTTGCTGTTCTTCTTGAAAAAGAGATAGATATAAGCTGGATTGAATGCCCTTACGACGGTAAGATCATACTTCACTATGTTGTAAAAACCAATAGATCCCAATGAGAAGAACCACAAAGCAATTATAGGAGCAAACATGAAACCCACTTTTCCAGTCCCAAACTGCTGTATGCTGAACAATCCCACAAGGAGTATGATTGAAACAAGGACAACAAAATCTGCACATAGATTAATCTCATTAAAGGCCATCTTGTTTAAAATGTTGTTATTGATTTTCCAGAACCCTACATGGTAGCTGATGATGTTGATACAGGATGGCTGTTATCAAATATAACAATCATGTAATACAAGGTGAAAGTAATTAGACTAATTATATCATTTAGCAGGTTTCAGTTCATTTTTATTTTTGATTGAACTATTTTGGCAGTGGGAGTGGTAAAATGCTCCCGGTTGATCTCGACAATCAAAGAAACCATAAATGCCCCTGGATGAGTCGAAAGAAAAGAAAGATTACCCACTTGTATCAATTCCTCGTATTTCACCATGTAGACCACTCACGGCGGACATCACTGCAACAAAAAGAAGAAATCATAATCTTAAGCTAGGGTAATCTCAGTCAATTTATATTAACACACATCTCATACCCAAAAACTAATGCACATTACTCAGGAGAGGTATCACCCTTCACTGGCATTCCACTTTAAAAGGAAAACAATAGAGGACTTAAATTTCCAATAGTTAACTCAATTAAGTAAAAAGTCTTTGTCCAAAATAGAATGAGGTGCTTGGTTAACGCAGCAGGCTCTATCAAGAAGAAGAAAAAGAACAATTAAAAAATGATAATATGCATGAGAAAGTATGTGGTTTTTCCATAAGTATGATTCCCCATCTGCAAAGGTGACTTGCACCCCTATTAAAAGTGTAAGCACTCTTATCATGTGAAGTGAAAGATATTGGTCCAACAAAAAATCAACAGGTGACTCAAAACAAACACTAAAAAGCATTATTAACCTCTATATTCTCAAGACTGAACACTTATTCAAATATACTGATAAGATATAGGAATGAGTGTATATTTGTACCTAAACACACATTACTCAATATGTTGGGAAGCCAGCGAAAACCTCTAGAAAATTACATAAGAACAGAGCAAAGCAGAAAAGAGAAAGGAGGGGAGAGGGAGTACAGAAGGGAGGTTTATATTGCATAAACTGCGTGGGTGGGAAGGTAAAAAAAAAAAAAAAACAAGCTATAGGCCTAAAGTTAATTCCCTCACAATCATCACAAAGACAAGACAAGTAAACAAATTCATTGAGCATGGAATGATAAGGTTAGCAGCCCAGGAGATCTCAGGATTTAATCTAATCCCAGAAATGGATGTCAAACCATAGCCAATGCATAACAGCCCAATTAATAAGCCAAATGTAGGTTAGAAGTTCCTCCGTGACTCATAATTAAACAAGATGATAAAACCAAATATTATTGCAATTGCAACAGATTTAACCTTCCAAGTCATTGTATCAAGTAAAAACTAGTTCTTCCTGACAGTGGCAAGTATAGAACATTAGAAATATTGGCATTATTCCAAAAAATTAATATGACACATTATATGAATCTATGTACCTGAAATTGCAGGAGTAAGAATTCCATCTCCTATAATCATGGAAGTTCCCATCAGAACCAAAAGCAATAGAATGGTTTTCAAGGAAGATCTGCTTTCCAAAGTCTCTTTTATATTTAAAGCCCTTTCCAGTTCCGGGGTGGGCAGTTTAAGCTTAAAACTTGATATCTGTTCATCAGCTGTCTGACGATTTGGCAGCATACTGACCTTGGCATACCTGCAAATCAGTGAGTACAGAGCAAATGTCCCTCCTGAAAATGGAATTACTCATTTGTTAACAAAAATATGTTTAATAAGATAATTAGCAAATAAGGCAAGAACAAAATCACTACAACCAGAAGCTCTTACCTTCTCCATTATCATTGGCTTTGAGCACCACAAAAACGTATTTTGCTAAAGGAATAAGAGTAATTGTGTACATCACTAGAGATAAGGCCCCCAAGATATCGACTTCTGACTCGATGGGCACTTTTCTGAATACATCACTGAAGACATATAAAGGGCTTGTGCCCATGTCACCATACACCACACCAAGTGTTTGAAATGCTAAAGCAATAATGTGCCAATTTGAAGAATCCTGACCCATTCAAGTGCAGAAGTTCAGAAACAAAAAAGATGTATACTTATTTGGCATGTAAACCCTTTCATACCAGGACCAAGCAAAACAACTTCTGGTGACATATCTGAAATGAGTTGTGAGTATGCATATGAACATATGAACATCTAAATACAAGACATCTCTCCATTTCAACTGCCTAAACCAACCAATAACGGAGATTGTAGCCCATTATACATAGTCATAAATTCAACAACCTGTGAATGCTAGGCCAGATTGACTGCTCATTCTTACACTGCCAAGCCCTCTTACATGTCTTCGGAACTCTTAAACACAAAATACGGTCAGCACTGAATATCCATCATAGAGTAACAATTTATGCCATTTAGCTAGATTTTCAGAAATAACTTTTTTCATTGCACACACCCAACAACAGACAAGAAACACCTTCCAGCAGTACTCAAAAAACAAAATATGGAAAACACATTCTTTTCCAAGATTAGTGTTAACTCAAAAACCAGTCAATAGATGTTTTCAAATACAGAATTAAGAATTTAGAAGAATACACAATATTCTTCTTCTCTTTCTCGAAACAATTAGAATTAAATATACTTTTGCAGTTTTATTAAATAACTATCGGATGCTGCTTCTTCTTTTTTTAACTTTTCATTTTACCAAAGAGTATATCAAAAATAAGCTTGCAAGGAGTTAATAATGTCAACAATCAATATTCATCCTCTTTCCAGTAAGATTGGGGTCTATACCAATCCCATATTCAAAATGACCGTCCTATTAAGATAAGACAAGAGGTATAAACTCCATTGTATTCTTCAAAATTTAAGTACTATGAACTTAACAATCACAAGTTTTCTCAATTTCACAAAAAACTTAGGATTGAATATTCAATACGATAAAGAAATTCAGATAAGTGATGGAAAGCTCATTACTTTAGAGTGGTAGCCATGCGCAGAAGCAATCTCCATGGCTTCAACATCCAAAGAATCCAATCTGTTGGGCCTCTTCGCAAGGCGCCTCCTCATGGATCCATACCCATCTCCTGATCCACCGTCTGGTTGCAGCACAGACCACGGTGGTGACTCTGACTCCACTTCACTCCCATCAACCCATCTCGACTCACCACCACTGTTACAACCCAACAATCTCACACTGCCTTCTTCAATCTTATCTTCTTCTTCCATCTTCCTTCCAAAACAAAAAAACCCTTTTGCTTCAACTGCAACTCTTCACTTCTCAGTCAACGGAATACTCAAAAATCTCCAAACTTTTCATATTACCAGATTTGTATCTTTCTTATATGGTAAGAAAGTGATTAACGGTTGAAAAAGTTTTGACGTAATTGAAATCTATTATTGTTTGTACAATGAGATTGCATGTGGAGGTTGGAACTTGGAACTGAGCTCATTACCAAACGGAACAACTTCAATCATACGGACAGGACACGGTTATTGTCAGGAAGATAAAATAAAAATAAATAAAGTATGAAATTCTTATCTTCTTTTTATTATATTTTAATTCTCGATTTTTGATTAAAAAAAAATGGTTTATATTAACATGTACGTAACGTATGGAGTAGATAGATACTAACTAATAAAAATGCATTAAATATTTTTGCTTAATAAATCAAAAATATAAATGGATGGTGAGGAATAGCCAATGGGCAATGGTATGCGTCCATGGATTCAATCAATGCTTATGGTATTTTGATTTTTAGTCTATTAATGTGTGCCATCTGTCCATTTTATGTTTGTCATCTACTGTTGAAAGATTCGACCTTCCATTTTTTGTAAACNTATAATTAATATAACATTACATAATTAAATGATTACTTAATTGATTATGACATTATATTATAAACATTAGTAATTTACTAATTTACACAATACTTAATCAAATTATTATAACATTATATTATAAATTTATGGTATGATTATTTAATTAATTATAACATTCTATTATAAACAATATTATAATACTTAATTAAATGATTAACAATTCAAGTGTTGCTTAGAGATTACAAGTTATGAGTTACATTGGACACAAATGAATGAATAATGAAAATTTGTTAGGGGTGTATTTATAAACTTATAAGGTGTTTTTGTTATTTTTTAAACTAATAGGGGGGTAATTATTTTTTACAGGATACCCTGGAAAAGAACCGGAACCTGTATTTTAGGTTCCAGTTTCTTGAATTGAAGAACCTGTACTATGCAGTTCCAGTTCCGGTTCCTTTTTTTTGAAACCTGCACTGTGCGATTCTGGTTCCGGTTTCTCCAGAAAATACAGGGTATCCGGAACCGCTCACTCCTAAAATTAAGCATATAATTATTAGCATGATGCGGATTCAATTCAGCAAGTGTGTTTTTAAGTCAAAGAGACTTATGGGATTTACCAAATCATAAACTTCGAACGTGCACATCAAGACCAAAGAATCAGAGCATGCGTGACACAACTGGCCACTAATTTATAACATAGATGGTTCAATAATTTTATAGAAAAATTGTCAATATCATGATGAAGTTCACGTCAAATAATGCAGCAGAAAAATAAGGATGGGAATGAGTATTTCAATTCAGGAGATAACGTAATCAGATGTGGACGAATAATATATTAAAAGATTTTATTTCAGAAATACAATTTACGGAAAATGCTACACTTACATTCTCTTCTCACAAATTTAATATGATAGTTCGTAATTGATCAGTTTATAATAAGTTCCACCTAAATCTAATTTAATATATTACGACCGAATAATTACAAACTATTACGTCTAGATTGTAAAATAAAGTTTGTGATTACTTTATAATTTACACACACAAGTCTTCAGAGCTTGAATAGCTTTTTTGACAAATTTAATTTCAACAAAAGAAGAGGTTGAATCGAACTTTAGTGAACGGGATAATCATAATTTAATTTTGAATTGGTAGACTTGACACCAAAACTAATTTAATATTAGTTCATATTCGAGAAGATATATTTTAGAGAAATACTAGTTTTACACCATCATCTCACACCATTCTTTCACATCATGACATGGCAGTCCTCATGACAATGACACCTCATCTGCTACATCATCCATCTGCCAAGTCATTTCCCCAATAATTCTTTTAATATTTTTTTTTTGCAAATTCTGAAATTTGAAACAAAACTTTCCCTAAAACAAACCCTCCGTCAATTTCAAAATCCAAAAAATACAGACGCAAAAATTCTCCCCGAATTTCCTTTCATTATTGTAAACCCTAGCCACCACATCCCTCAATCACAACTCGTCCAAGTCGCCGCCGTCCATCCCAAACGGGTTTCACTTAAGCCTTCCACCACCGCCGCCAATCTCAGTCGCGTCCCTATCGATCTCGACCTTAAACGGTCGTGTGTCAGCTGTTCCTTCGCCCCATGACGACGACGAGTGTCAGTGGAGCCGCTCCAGGTCACCGAACTTGGAGAACCAGAGATTACCGAACTTGTATCACTCCCTTACAGATGACGAGTCTCCCTCATTCTTATCTTCTTGTCTGACAAGTACACTTTCTTATTTTATTTTATGAAGTTCCTTTAATGTTACATCAATCTTATGGATTGGGTGATTGGTTCTACTTTGGTTCTTGATTATCTTTTCTACATTAGTATTTCATAATGTTTGTTTCAGTTTTAATGTTCTGAGTGACTGGCATTTGAAAACTAATTTTTCCTTCTCCTGTGAAGTCAAACACTATTTCCATATTTTCTACTTATATATAATGCCTCCTATTGCCACTTGGTACTTGGAGATGTGTTTGTGATTTATATTTGGCACTGCTGAAGGCTGCTCTAACAATTTGACTTTGTAATATATGATGATTTTAGTTAAATTTCTGTACGTTGATTCCCTATTTGATTTGTTCATATTTTTGCTGCTTGGTTAAATTTGTGTCTTCTGTTAGTTTTTACAGCCCCGAAGGAAAAATATCTCCACGTCGCTGCCCTAAAATGTATTTGGAGTAATGTAATGTCTTGTTTTTGAGTGTTTACTCCTTAATCAAGCTGTAGTTAGTATCTGAACAGCATTGTAGTAGTCTGTAGATTTTCTTAAATTGCCTTTTTTTGAGGAAAAAAAAAATTGATGTTGATGTTTTGAGAGAAATGGGAAGACGTGATGTGAAGTGAGGTGGGAGAAGTTTTAGATTCTATTTGGATGGTTAAATGAGCAGAGAAGAGGAGAGTAAAAGAAGATAAATAAATATTGGTAATTGAGACACAAATTCGTAACCTTTGATGTATATATTACACACATCTGTGCTGATTGTTTTCGCTTTTTTCGAGGACAAGCATTGTGTACCACTGCTGCTGTCCTTGGAGGAAAGAGCTTGGCATCTCAGAAATCAGAGAAAATAGTAATCTTGGACAATTTTTGCTACTTGGTTATTGCTATTATGGTGTATCCATGCTATCTATTTTATTGAGCAATTGTAACGGTTTAACTATCTTGGTGCAAGTTGCAGTCTCAGGTGGAGTTCTTTATTGTTTCTGGACTCCAATCCTTCCTTTCATCAGTGGAGTTATAAAATCACATTATTAATGGTTAGTCTCTACATATATAGCATGTCCTAGAATTGAAGTTTTTGTTTTTGGCCTATCTCGGTTATATATATAGTAATCTGTCATAGAACATGTTATTTTCTCGAAAAGTAAGTCAGTGGATTATAGGAAAATATCTCGACTCAAATTTCAAACAAAATATTTCCGAATTGATTGACTGATCTTGCAGGCACTGAATATGTGCCACATGCACCATTCTATAATGAATATTTCAACATTTTTGTTTCATGCAATATGTCAATAATTAATGTTTGTCGTCCAACTCCGATGGATTACAATAAATCAAAGGCTAAGAATTTGTCTCAAATTTGTATTAAAAATGAAAGAGTTGGGTAGTGGATTATTTTTGTTCTAGAATGGGAATTTGTGCTATAGAGGGAAAAAAAATGGTGAATATCTACATACATCTGCGGTTTGTCTTGCTGCTATCTATGGGCCTAGTGAAGAGAGGTAGTTTCAAAGGATAGTGTCTGTGGTGAAGTTACTTTTACTGCCTTTCAGAATTGATGAATCGAATTTGAAACAAGACTGGATTTATGTGGATAACCTCGTACTCGCACTGGTATTGGCGAGGATGGCACTTTTGGATGACATTCTAAATATATCTACAAGTATAGAACATCCACTTGCATGCGTGTTATTGATAATTTTCAAAATATATGTCTCTAGCAAGATACTGACATGATGAGAAGGAAAAAGCATTCGGCTTTCATTGCCTCCATATTATGGTATATGCAAAAGTGTAAGATGTGGGGCAAACTGTATAGCAGTAGCTTGTAATTTGGAAGCATTCAAATTTAATACTGAGCTTGTAGTATTGACTATGTATTTGTATTTTAAGTTTATATGAAGATGAAAGATTTTTTTGACTTCCAGTTGCTATTGAAATGGTGGAATCGTATCCCAATTTGTATGTTATTGATACCTTCCAATTCTTACTTTTTGTACTATTGAATTTTTGGAATCTTCTCCCAGTCTGTATTCCTGTTTTCAATACCATTTTCATCCAAATTGCCTTTCTAGGTTTAAGTTATAGTATCTTGAATCCTACATATGATCCTGGTTTAAATTATGCAACTGAATCAAAATAATCCTTTTATAACCCTAATTTCAAAATCTGCTTGCGTAAACTCAATTTGGAAAGTTGGACAAGACGTACCTTGTTATCACCTATATAAAGTCTTGAGTTGTGGATTCAATTATTCAATTTGTTAAAAGTATAATCAGGATTATGGGTATTGATTCTTGTATTACTTAAAGCACAAACCTCATCAATCAACCTGTAAAAAACTGTTTTAATGCTTATTTTATCTCCCATTTATTTATTTATCTATTTATACAACAATGACATTATTTGACATAGATATCCGACAAATCAAGTTGTCAAGAATGAATTTCGTTTGGACAAAATAATGCGTAAATATCTACAAGTCCTTCCTTTGACACCAAATTTTTCTTCCTGGTTACATTGTACAACAAACACTTAATACAAAACCTACTAAACAATAAGGTATACGGAAATTTCCAGCTTTCTCATCCCAGCTGTGTTGGGCTTTTTTAATCATTTGCGTTATGGACAAAAGGATGCTCAAGTAGCATCATAGCTAATGGCCGCTCTGCAGGATTTCTTCGAAAGTAGTGTTGGAGAAAATCCTTTCCCTCCAAAGATAATGTTTGTGGTATAAGCATGGTTTTATGCAAGACCTTGAACATAGCTTAAGGCTGACAAATAGAAGATGAGACAACTAAAGCGATTGGTAGAGAAAAGATCATGTGCAAACCGTTACAGAAAGTATAAAGACAAGAAATGAGCATTCTTTCTCTTTGATTTTGTAAGTAAATCACCATACTAGAAATCAAGTTATAAGCCCATTAAGTAACATGCAAAAGAAAATCATTAACAAGCAGAATATGCTATCAGGAAAGCAAGATACGGAAAAATGTTTAAAATCCTTAAAGCAGAATCTCCCATGTCATTTAAAAGTTTGTAACTAATTAAATCTGGATGCATTTTGAGCAATTAACTATAGAACGCAATACGTAGACTGGAAAATTGTAAAAGAGTTGATGACATGAAAAATTGAGAAACTGTCCAAATTTTAAATATCTAAACAATAAAAATAGGAGTCTAAAATTCTTCGATGAAAAGAGAATGATGAAAAGAGAATCCGGATTGCGGAAAGAAAGGAGAAGCAATCAACAGCAGTTGCACCTGCTTATTCACAGGTATTCAGAGATCCAGTGACCTTGTGCATGCTAATGAATTTATGTTACAATGCATAATTCAATCTTTCTAGAAAACATCTCGAAATAATAGTGCAGAGAATCAAATATACATAAATAAACATTAACTACAATTAATTTACTAATACAAACATTAACCCTTGAACACAATCTATGAAAAGATAATGTTAGAGAAGCATACGCTCAAATTACAATAGATCAAACAAGACTAATATTCATTACTACATAGTGTTAAAGAATCTCAAACCTCACATGTTTTGCCATCCTAAAGTCTGCAAGCTTTACAACACCAGAAGCATCAACAAGCAAATGTGAGCCTTTAATATCCCGATAAATCATAATAATGTAGATAAGTATACTCATACGCCAAAGCAATAAGTTTATAACAAACAAATGTGCCACTTCTCCAACAAAATCCAAATTCAACAAGCATGTAAAAACAGTAAAGACAATAAAGTAAGCAGTCATATAATTCTTCCAAAACATCATTGATAATTTTACTGTTGCCTTTTTACAAGATTAAGAATATATATGGACTTTAGCAATCTGCAAAGTGTAATCATAAACTATTAACAAAGAAGTTAACTCTAATGCTCTGCTCCCTATCAAGCGCAATTGTTACCTATCGATTGTCTTTGTGCTATGCAGGTAAGCCAGCCCAAAGAGAATATGTCAGGTGAAATTGTGAACTATCTGTTATAGCTCCAAAATGGTCACAATAATATTTATTAATATATCTGGGATAAACATACTCCAGATATATGTGAAAATGATCATAAACCTGCAGTGGAAACAATGTTTTCTGAACAAATTATATCTGCACTAATACAAACACAGTCAAATCTAGCGTATTCTATAGGAAGAACCACACACCACATCACTTCCATAATACTATACTATATTTGGATGCTTTAAGTGTTGGAGAATTCTAATTTCTTGCAACAATTACCACAAATAGGAATGGTTAGTTTCCAAGCAAAATGGACAAAAAAAAAAAAAAAAAAAAAACATATGTCCAACTAATCTGACTGAAGTGTAGTGCTTTATGTATCCACTTTGCACACAGTTGAAGTGGTGATGAACAAGAACTGGAACTTCTAAACAGCATTTCAGATTGGTATCATCTCTGGGGATTTAGCAAACGGAGTGGTAGATTGGTGCTGGTCTTAGATGCTGAGCCAAAATGAGGACAAGGGTGACTGAGTTTATGCATGCCGCTTATTTTACCGTGAACACCATGTTCAGGCTTGATTTCAATTGACAATCAACTATTGTGGCCAGAATTCATGTAAGACAAATACAAATTCCAATACCATATTCTTGGAATAGAATACTATTGGCAACAAATATTCTACGATAAGACAAATAATTCAAATTTGCATATTCCTCAGTAAGTGATTTAAAGAGCAATTATTTTGTAATCAACTAAATTGTTTGAGAAAGGACCCGAGATAGTGACCTGCTCCAGCCTCCAATTGCTTTATACATTCAGCAGACTTAGGGTCATCATGGATGATATCAACCTCCTTCATTGCACAAAAAGCTCTAGTTTCTCTGGCAACCCATAAAATAGAAAGAAAAATAAAGATTAGTGTTCACTTAAAGAAAGTCAAGAACCAACTAGAAGAATAAACTTTTGCATACTTGCACACCTGTTGGTTGCAATATAAACACTTCTAAAATTACCACGTCCAATAAGTTTTCCTTTTTGCCTGCCTCTAACACTCTTCGTCTGTAAGGGAGTGATGCAAGGTAGTGGACGGCGGCGACTTGGACGGACTGTGATTGAAGGATGTGGTGGCTAGGGTTTACAATATTGAAAGGAAATTCGGGGAGAATTTTTTTGTTTGTATTTTTTGGATTTTGAAATTAATGGAGGGTTTGTTTTCGGGAAAGTTTTGTTTCAAATTCCAGAATTCGCACAAAAAATTAAAAAGAAAAATGGGGGAATTGACTTGGCAGATCGATGATGTGGCAGATGAGGTGTCATTAGATGAGGTGTCATTGCAATGTGGGTTGCCATGCCATGATGTGAGAGAATGGTGTAAGAGGATGATGTACAACTAGCATTAGTGTTTATTTAAACCAGTAATGCTAGGGTTACACCATATTCTTACTTCATTCTCTTACATCATGACGTGGCAGATGACGTAATAGTGCCACCTCATCTGCCACGTCACTTACCCTTACGTTTTTAAAAAAAAAAAAAAATTGCAAACTCCTAAATTTCAAATTTCCCATTTGCGCTAAAACGGTAAAACCCACATCCCAAATCAATTTCAGTTTATTCTAAATCAGAAACCCTACAATTCTTCCACAATTTCCTTTCAATTTTTGAAACCCTAGCACCACAATCTCCAACCTCAGCCCGTCCCCACGGCGACCACCACAGCAGCACCAGTNGTGCATTTAATTCCTTGGAGCTCTCACCATCTTTAAGTCAAATACAATAACTCCTTGCTCTTTACGTTTTCAATACCCCACCGTCTCTCAGTTTCTCTCCTCCCTTCACTGCTTCTTCTCCTACAACTACAAACAGCCATTTTTTTCCTAAATCTAACTTTCCACCCCAGTCGTAGCTGCTTGATCAATGTTTTTTCCCAATCACACTCGACTTTATTCTTTTTCCAAGTCTTCTCTCCCATCTCAATCGACAACAGCCTCCACACTCAATAGCATTCGTTTGATACGGTTAAATTCTTTGATTTATCCCTTTTAACTTTCTAAGTTTTGCAAGTTTTTTCATTCACCAATCTTCTTATTTTTCTCTTTTTAGAAAGGTCACTCTATCCAACAAAGTTTAGATATCATGATTGTATATGAGTTGATGGGGTGGAAGGTGGAATGTGGATGGTTTGACGTTGCGAGAAAGTTGGTGACGGTAGTTCGACATCGTGAGAATGGGGATTGTTTTATAAAACCGGTTAACTGGTAATCAAACTAAATTATCGGTTCGGTTAATAATCGGTTTAAGAGATAATTCGGTTCGGTTCAAAATATCAGTATTTCGGTCCGGTTAACCGGATTTTTGCACCCCTACAGTTTCGTGAACCAATCTCCACCATACACATGGGAGATCTTTTTACCAATTTTCTTGGACAACTCTAAGAATAGAGTGACACCTCTAAAGTGACTTATTACACAAATCTCATAAAAAAAAAATTAAAATATAAAATATCTCAAAGAATGACACAGGTATAGAGTGAGAAAGGTTAATAAAATGTTTACAGATACACTGGAAATATCCCCACATGCGTAAATATAACAGTAATGTTAGGGTTACACCATATTTTTATTTCATTCTCTTACACCATGACGTGGTAGATAACACGTCACTGAACAGCCACGTCGCTTACCCCTACGTTTTTCAAAAAAAAAAAAAAAATTGCAAACTCTTAAATTTCAAATTTCCCATTTGCGCTAAAATGGTAAAACCCACATCCCAAATCAATTTCAGTTTATTCTAAATCAGAAACCCTAAAATTCTTCCACAATTTCCTTTCAATTTTTGCAACCCTAGCCACCACAATCTCCAACCTTAGCCTGTCCCCATGGTGACCACCACAGCCGCACCAATTTGCCACCATCTAACTCTATTATCTGGTGGTTAAGAGATACTAGTAGGTTATTGTAACCATAACTCGTCCCTCCTGCGCGATCCCAGTGGCATCCGCCGGCTTATCCAAATTCCCTTCATTTTCACAGGTTATTACTTTTTAAAGCTGAAGTTATTTATCTTTTTGTTTTGCTCTTCGGAAACAGTGATTACACTAAAAATAATTGTTAATGATTTATTGTGATGAGTGCCAGATTGCTGCTATGCATCGGTGAGTTGCATTGTTAATGATTTATATATGTTTATACATCATATGCCATTAGAAATTCCAGTTCTGGTACCTGAATGCTACGTGGTCATTTGATAGGGTTTGGGATATGATCTGTTTATATGAGGAACAGAGACCTCCAAGAACAAGAGAGAGAAAAATTAGTTGACAAAATTCTTTATTGATTCCCACAATCTAGATTTGGGCTATTATATAGCCTTACACTTGACTCTACTGACTCTCAAAAGGACTCTAATTATAAGGGGATAATAAGTCCCAAAAGGACTCTAATTATAAAGAGATAATAAGATAATCCTAATTCTATCATAATAAGATAATAATATATTTATAGAAGATAATTATAAAAGATAATAATAAAAGACTTAACAAACTTATCCTAATTCTAAAATAATCCTAACATCATTTTTTGGGCATTTTATATATTTTAGCACCAAAAGAATGAAATTTCCATTTAATAGAGCAGTTTCGGAGAAGTGTACAAAATTAAAAGGATTGAAGTTGCATCATTGTTTGAATCCCCTATATTTTGTTCTTTATGCATGGATGCATTTGTTTTTAACATTTTATAGGCAATCTGTTTACTTTGAAATTTAAAAAAAAAAATGTCATACATTTTGTTTAGTTTGAAATTTTATAAAAAAATGTCATACATTTTGTCATGTTGGATGAAGATTCTCCCCTTCGCTGTAGTACTATGCTGCTGGTCAAGCTTTGATGTTTTATTTTTTTTTTTTCCTTTTTGGTAATATTTATTTGTTATGAATCTGCTTCTTTTTCCCTTATTTTCAGCTATTGCATACCTCAATTGCTGGTAACTTTTGAAGGAGGATGTGATTTGGTATTGTAGATGAGATGGACTGTATAAAAACGGAATGGTGAACTTCAAGGAATTTCTGTTTGCATTCACTACAGAGCTGCATATATCTGTGTGTATTACATTATCTCTAATTGTTGTGTCGTTACCATGTTTCTCTGACAGAACTGCCAATTTAGCAAGGTACAATTGGTTTGGCTACGGATGAATATCTGTTTGGTGTTGTTCTTGGAGGAGTTGTGTAAGTGGCCTCGTGATTGTGTTCCTTATTTTGAGGTGATGTGCATATTACACACAGCTGTGGCTTCATCACCACTGTCAAGGCCGGTTGGTAAGATATTCTTTGGTGATACAATGGCGAATTAAGATGCAATGATGGAATAGTAGTATATACGCATTTTTGGAAGGTTTTTGGCCTGAATATCTGACTGGAAATGTTAACAAACTCAGTTTGCATGTTTTTTTTTTTGTTTTTTTTTTACCCTATATTATCTAATGATTATGGATTCAGTAGCTTGGATGATAATGTGGTATTTCCTGCATCTGGTTTTATTTTTCGTTGAGAGATTTCCATACATTTGGTTTAGTAGTAATGTATATAGCCTCTCCCTCTGTCTATGAATTATGTGCATTTACTTGATGGGGCGTAAAACTTTAAACTTGTTACAAGCATCATGATTTTGCAGTATGTTTAACAAGATGCACTTATAGTTTGGTCTTGCTTTTTTATGTAAAGATATACAGATAACTTGTTCTGTTGATTCATTGTTGGAGCGTCAGTAATCAACATCTTCTTCTTGTTGTATAGTTCCTTTTTTTTTTTTGTTCTTTTTTTTTGGTTTTTCGATCTGAAAATTGAGTTGTTAAAGAATACGATGTCATAATTCGTAAATTTGTGGGGTCATTTGCTAGCATTGCTGATAATTTTAGTTGTAGTTCTGTTACTGAAATTGAAATGCCCATTAAGTGATTGGTTTTTGTAAACGAAGTTTAGGGTTTAGGGTTTGGATGTAGGCTGGTTTCTGCGTAAGGCTTGTCAATGTGTTATTTAATTGCATATGTTCTGCAGGTTGGACGGGGAACATGTTGTATTGGGTAAGGTCATTCAAGGCATGGACACTGTGTTTGCATTATGCAACTGAAGGCGGAGCTGGAACATACAGCGGAAAACCAAGAAGAAAGGTCACAATTGCTAACTCGGGAGAGAAATCCAAGAGCAAGTGGGATGAGGAAAGATAAGCCTCCTTCGGACAGTTTTAGATAATTGATTCACCTTTTTTTTCTCATTGTATTATGTTCTTGAAATTTACTAAAATCTTGACTAAGATCCAACAGTCATAGGTGCCTCTCGGAAATACTTTATTTGGCCTTTTGCATCCAATAATTGTTCTTATTCTATGCAATGAGCTTGACTAAGCTTAGTTATTGCTTTTCTTCTCTGGTTGCACTTGTTTTTGGTGGTGATGTTGAGGGGAGTTTGCTGGAAGTTTGGTGGTGTGCTGCTGGGGCTTTTTCTGTAGATTTTTGTTGCTGCAGTGTTGCATTTGTGCTGGAAAATTATGGAACTCCATGAAAAATGCAGTTTATGCAGTTTTTTTTCCCTTCTCTGATGTTTCATCAAGATTAGAAAACTGCATGAAAAATGCAGTTCATGTAGTTTAGTGGAACAAAAGATATGATGTTCATCCAATTATGTCCTGGACAATTACAAATGGTTAACTTTTTTGTCATTACAATGAAAATGAAAAATACATCCAATAGGGCATTTCCATTAAATATTAGAAGGAGAATGTTGCATATAAAGAAAATATATTTAATTAAATTATACAGAACGTGTGTCTTAACTATGTTTTTGAATGAGTTGGGTTATGAAAACTTGTACACAAGCGACATTACAACATGAAGAGTGTGAAGTGAATTGGCTGTTTTTGATCAGTTTATTTTTTCTGCCCCTTTTTTCCAAATTGCAATTGCTCTTGCTTGCATTGTCCTACCAAGTACCGACAGCGACCTCCAATGGTTTCGCATGCTGAATATCTACAACATGGGGAGAACATGATAATTAATGAACCAATTTAATTATGTTATATGGTTTGCTGGTGGACCTTACCATTCAGGTTAATCATGAAAATAAAATATAAAAGAAATTTGAAAGAGGCAATGAAGGAAAGGGAAAGTCACCTTGTTGCTGCAATGGTGCCATGACTAAGTTCTTTAGTTTGTTCTCTTCTGATCAGATTCAACACTCAGAACCTGCAGCCACGCCCCAAATATCAACCAAAAAATGTGAAAGACAGACATATTAACACCATTAACAAAGTTCCCAGTTCAAGATAAAAATATCAAGCCAAATATAGAGACGATACCTTGTTCTTAGTGGTTATCCAGCAATCAGTTCCCTTATTATGCAAAGACTTTAGTCTTACTATATTTTGGATGCCTAAGAACACAAAAGAACATTTAAATTTTAACATATAATCAACAGTTAACTAGCACATATTTACAATGACATATGCAACTAAGCACAAAAGAAATATCATTAGAAATACTCTCCAAATACTACATTTTTATACAAAGATGGGATTATTTTGGGCACTAAAGTTTGATGAAGCTTAATTTTCATATTCCATACCCAAAACCATTGAATCATACATTACTTTTCTTCTGATCAGAAAAACAGTCAAACTTTCTTATGTTCTAAAAGTTCCCCAGCATCAAAATAAAGTTATGCAAGTAAAATACTACAGAATCAGCTTCAAAATCAAATATATAACAGTTCAAACAATACTTTTTAAAGTTCCCAAGATAAAAAATACCTTATATTTAGTGTCAATTATTTTTAGAGTTAACAATTGAGTGATCCGTTTTCGAATAATCTGCATCAAACAAACAAACACAAATTTAACATGGAACGTATACACAATCAAACACTTGCATCAGTGAAAATGAAGGGAGAAATCTAAAGATTACCATATTCACGGTCTCATGGGATCAAAATAAATACTCCCAAAATGACAGCTAAAATAAGTGCACCTCAACTGAAACCAAATCTCAAATCCGCTATTTCCTCTGTTTCAACATATTCAAAATATGAAAAAAAATTAAAAAAAAAAAATTTAAATGGAGCTGATTTCAGTTATTTGTACATCACTTTTACTTTACTTTCTTTGCCCTTTCCTTTATGTCAACATTTTAAATAAAAGAATTGAAAAACATTTAAATCACTGTTTCCGAAGAGCAAAACAAAAGGATAAACAACTTCAGCTTTAAAATGTAATAACCTGTGAAAATGAAGGGAATTTGGATAAGCCGAGAGATGCCACTGGGATACCGCAGGAGAGATGAGTTATGGTTACAGTAACTTACCAGTGACTCTTAACCGCCAGATAATAGAGTTAGATGGCGGCAAACTGGTGCGGCTGTGGTGGTTGCCGTGGGGACGGGCTGAGGTTGGAGATTGTGGTGGCTAGGGTTTCAAAAATTGAAAGGAAATTGTGGAAGAATTTTAGGGTTTATGATTTAGAATAAACTGAAATTGATTTGGGATGTGGGTTTTACCGTTTTAGCGCAAATGGGAAATTTGAAATTTAGGAGTTTGCAATTTTTTTTTTTTTTAAACGTAGGGGTAAGTGACATGGCTGTTGGGTGACATGGTAGATGTCATCTGTCACGTCATGATGTAAGAGAATGAAGTAAAAATATGGTGTAACCCTAGCATTACAAATCCCCAAATAAAACAGCGGCTGCTTCATCTTCTTCTTGTTCCTCACAACCCAACTCCTCACAATAAAACAAAAGCAGTCGCAGCCTCTTCTAAAAAAACCCAGCAACCTTCTCCATTCAAATCCCAAAATCAAATCATCATCTTCTTCTTCCTCATTACCTTACTCCCTCACAATAAAACAATAAGCAGCTACAAACTCCTCTAAAAAACCAAGCAACCTTCTGTTAGTAAACTGATGAACAAAGGCAGCGGAAAACAAAAATTTTTGCCCATCGATTACTCTGATTTTGCCAAGATCTGGGTCTGATATATATATGCTTAAATTGAAACAATATAGATCCATACAAAGATTAGATTATACCAGTGATTGGAGACTCCGTCAGTGTCTCTGAATGTGATGAATGTGATTCGTTATCAATTCGAGAACGGAATCAAACTCACATCGTCCACACGAAGACAGTACGTCAATGACCAAGAATTAATTTTGCTAGAATTAATTTTGCTAGAATTAATTCTTGGCTTTAAGGATGGTGTTTAGGAAGATTGAGTGTAGAGAAGAAGAGAGAAATTTTTCTCTTAAAACCTATCACCCACGATAGCAAATGATATATTGTGTAAAAACCTATTTTTGCTTTCTTTAAATAATGAAGCAAATATCTATTCCACCCCCAAAGTTTAGCAACAAGCCAAACTTAGGTGGAATTACATGTTAGTCCATATTTAATTATTTAGTTAAATATTAATATTAACTCTAATAGTTAAATTTATAATTTTGCTAAATTACTCCAGTAACAAAATTGGACATAGGCTAAAACCTCAGTTAATTTAATTACACAGCAAAATTACCAAATGCCCATTTATCTAAAAGATGAATATACCCTTCCAAAATTTACCATCCTTAAATTGTCTTCTAAGTGTGTGACCCGTAGGCTCTTTATCATATCGGTAGTGAGTAGTATCGTCATTGACACCAATCAATCGTCTCACTACACACAGACTAAGATTGACCCCTAGCAAGACATCATGACCACCGATAGATTCGGATTCAGCGAAACAATTACCTATCAACAATATGGTTAGTGTGCAATCAAATCCTTTCATCATCTGTTATCTCATCAAGGCTGAGGTACATAAATAGTGTCAACCTTAGTTATCCTCGATATTTCTGTATTCAGTTACTGAACCAATAATCGGAATAATAATTGGATTGAGCAACAACCCAATCCCACTGTGGCCACAACTTTAATGTCATTGTCCTTCACTGAATTACGCCGTGAGATAACTTCTCCCATAACCGAGAGTAATGAATCTTTGTCGATCCACCATAGTCTTGATACACTTCTCAATGTAGCCAATCATTATCGTATTAATAGCTCTAAATAGAACTACATTAGGCTAGTGTCAAACTACGCCAATTGGTGCACAAGACGCTCTAGTGATCTCAAGTCTAAGGATCACATGCACCACCATTCGTTAGAGGATTTATTCCATAGACACTAGGGTTACCATCTATATGGAATCCTCTAGTGGGTTAGTCTAGTGAACTTGCCTATAGCAAGCACCAATGTGTTGCACTATATTGTTGGCAAACAACATTGACAAGTGAGATCAGTCATTGCCTTTCGACAGGGTTGTTCAACACTATGATAGCCTTACCGTATTATCAGTGTCCTTGGTCAAAATAATACTGGGGCTATGGACATTTTTAGAATGGCCACCATACGTGATCATAAGGTTCTCACTATCAAGATTTGAAACACTTGATACCTTCGTCACGGTTTTACAACCCTAAGGACATATATCAATACATACCATTATGATTTGCACGATATAGAATAAAATGTCTTTTATTGATTAATGAATATTATTACAAAGAGTCAATTTTACAATATTTGATTGGCTCTAGGGTACCAACTCTAACACCTTCTCCATTCAAATCCCCAAATCAACCCAAATCACAAAAACCCAACAACCTACTCCATTCAAATCGAAAAAACCAGCCAAATTGCAAAAATCAACAGCCTCCTCATAAAAACCCAATCGCCTGAAGTGAATCACCACCTCCCTTCCCTTCCCCCATTAAACCATGTCGTTAACCACCACCCCACAGCCCTATCACGGGTCTTACTTAGCCATCGTCGACGACCTTACCCCACCATAGACAATAGCGGTGGCAACCCTCCATCTAAGAGACGGCAACCCCCACTTCCATCTAAGTGACGACACCCCTACCTCTATCTAAGCGACGATAGCCTTGTCAAACTGGTCGTCACGGCCACAAAATTAAACATAAATACCGTAATTAGAATCCACAGGGAGCAAAGACTAACAACCTAATGTGTATTTGAGTTATCAGAAATGAAATTGGCAAATTGATTGATTAAATTGTAGGAATTAAAAGAATAAAATGAATTGTTAACTAAAACTCAATATTAAAAGTGTTGCCACTGCGGATTCAGTTTGACTCAAGACCAACTCTAACAATTCCTCTCCTCGCTCTTCGATTTCCTAAACCTACAAGGCTAGGGAAATCAATAAAAACAACTCCCGACAATCTAGTATAATCTATCATGTCTTTTCGTTGTCTTAGTTACATATCGATTAATTAAAGACTATCATCGACTAACCAAAAAACGCTAAACCATTAACCACCACTAGTTGGTACAACTCTAACAAGTACAACCTATCAACTTGTATCATCCAATCAACCAATTACACAACGAATGCATTCCTAGTAAATATGATATTAAATGCTAATACAACTTGATTGTAATCAGTATCAAAACAATTTAAAGCCATAATCAACATTCAATAATCTCAAACCGACATTCAATTATGCAAAAAGTTGTATATCAACAAACGTTCTCAATGGACATTATCAATTCAACACGTCAAGCAATGAAATAATATTAAAGCATCGCAAACAAACTGAAATGAAAGAAAATATGATTTGAATACAAGAAACTTAACCAAATGTCCAACATTCAGGCTCATCCAACTGGTCCAGAACTGCCGAGAAGATCCATGAGTGTTGATCCTAATCTCACCTACACCATAACAAGCAACTAGGAGCTCAGTTGCTCATGGTGGTGTCAACGACAGTTGGAAAGTAAAAAATGGGGCTGGTCGCGGTGAAGAGGACATAACCGGCAATGAGATGGCATGCTTCATGGCTAGAGAAGACAATGAAAACACCCGAAAGATGAAGGGACACAACTTGCTGGAAAACGTTAGTTTTCAATAGTGGTTCTCAGTGACTAGTGGCAGAATAGAGATCTTAGGATATAGGGAGAAAGCTCTGGAGTTGGGGAGTCCATCTATGTGGCTGGGGAGTCAAGACGACGCCAAAAAAGGAGTGAAAACATGTCGAGAAGTCAAAGAGTCATGTTCTGGGAAGTATTGGTTCATGCCAGAAAACAGCTAAATCGGCAACAAGGAAGCTCGGGGAAGGTGAGATGGCACTAGGGAAAGATAGCCCAATACTTGGGCAGCCAAACCATCATCGAAAAATGACAAAAACAGCTCGAGAAGTTGAAGAGTCGCATGACTTGAGGAGGTGAAGTGTCATCTGACCTTGGAGAAGATGATTTTGGATGATGGACGGTCACTGAAGATACTCGTCAAAGCTTGATCAGAGAAGTTGAAGGGTTTTGGTGGGTGGTAGCCACCATTCTATGACCTTTCGCTTTCATTTTATAGTAGACATGGCAAATATCAGTTTAGTCCCTACACATTGACAAGTGACAAATCAATCCCTATCATATATTGATAACAATTTGACCCATAAACAACATAAATGAGACAAAATCAACCCTAGATAATAAATCACACCTAATATCAACTTACTGAATCTCAAATTTCAATACAAGCATGCCAAATTAGTAAGAAAAAACTCAAAATATAATTTTCATACATAAATTCATAATTTCTCTTAATTGCCTCAATATAAATTGATCTTTAAGCACAAAAGGGTACTTTAATCACCCTAATAGAGTCATTTTCATAACTCTAACACACTCCCCAACTTGCTCTTTGCTCGTCCTCGAGTAAAGTCAAAGGAACTCTTTCAACATTCTTACAAAACCATGCGCACCATATTCATCAACAACCTTGGCATTCATCAAAAGGTAAAGTGAAGAACTTGAACATAACAAATAAGCAACACAATCCTAAATAAAGAACTAAAGTTTCTATCAAGATTTTTCTATCTCCATTCATGCTTCTCAAACACACGTTCCATGTTCATATCATAATGCCAAAATGCCATGCAAAACTCCCCAACTTACGTACATGCAACATAATGGTCATTTTCCACACAAGATTTTGACATATAATTTCTTTTTCATTCATCACTTGTTTTCTTTTCTTTTTCTTGTCTTAACTTCTTAAGCTTTTTGGAAGGTCCGTGTAGTGGGCTTTAGGTCAATGACTCTCAAACCAAACAGCTTTAGGGCACTAAGCATAGAACACCCCTCAGACTTACTCACCTGAACCAATTAGGCTACAAGTCAAGATTTATATTTTTTTTTATAAAACTCATGATCTATGTAATGACTTATTAAGCTTTCTAGAGGACTCGTGTAGCGAGCTATAGGCCAATCGCTCCCAAGCTAGATAGCTTTAGGAGATTAGGTGCAAAACACCCCTCGGGCTTATTTACTTGAGTCAACTATGCTACAAATAAAAAATAAATCATCAAACAACATTTAAGCACTTCCAAAGACAAAGAATAACATTTTTAACACATGTAAGATAATAAATGAAAATTTGCTTCATGGGCATGTAAAGTATGTGGGAGACTTGTATAAACATTAAAACAGATGAGATTCACACAAAACGATGTCTAACCACAATTATGGACAAACTTAGCACATAACAGAAACAATAATTCAATGTTTAAAACCATGTTGCAACAAACCATTTTCAAAAACTCACAGAACCTTTCAACTAACACCTGAATTGTTTCCAAAATGGTGATTATGCATGAATTCATGAAAATTTTAAAAATCACTCACTTAAGTTCACTTTTTCCACTTTTGGACTTACAAGAGTAAGATTCAACATATTTTCAAAAAAAACATAATCATGCCACAAAAAATTAAGCACAATCCATTCAACACACAATCTCCACAAAAGCATCATTAACACCATCTCCACAAAAATATCATCAACAACACTCCACAATAACATACATACTCCACAAAAACAAAATCAATCAGCACTCCCTAACTTAAAATGTCATTGTCCTCAATGACTCACAAAACACATCATCCTCCCCAACTTAGCATCAATTGATCTCAAATGGCAACAAAATAAATAACAAGTAAAATAGTCCAACACATTTGAGAACATATCCAATAATACATAAGGTGGAGAGATACAACCTGGGGGACAATGATGGAGTTGTCACCAACGGGGGTTGCAGAGCATGTTTACGAGCAGTCTTCAACTACTTAATACGAGCTTCCAACCATGACAATTCCTGCAAAGACAAAAACATCAAAACAATAAAAACATATTTACAAAGGTGGGTTGTCTCCCACAGGCACTAAGTTTAAATTCTTCAGTTAGACTTGGTGTGAATAGGAAAGCTTAAG